CTTGTGGGTGTTGCAGTCCTTGGGGACACCGCCATGTTGTTCCTCCTCGTGGCCCGGGAGCACCGAGCGGTCCCCGCTGCCGGTGGTTCTAAAGCGCGTTGCTGTGTGCCCCGTGTGTGCTTAAATACGTCAGGAGTTAAACAAAGCTTCTGCTCCTGCGGCTGTGGCTGTGATGTAGGGAGGCCATGGCCAGGCAGGAGGAGTCCAGGGTCTGGTTCAGGGGAGCCTGAGTTCCTCCCCCGGCCATGGCTGTGTTGAGGTGCAGCACAAAGAGCTCGATCTGAGGCTGTTCGAACCTGGTCCCCAGGGTGGACAGCACCCAAGGACCGAGCTGTGGCAGAGGTGACTGCCAGCATCCTGGTTATGGGAACCACTAGCTCCCTGGGAAACATGGACACCAGACCCCTGCTGGGTCCAGGCCACATTGTCCTCCATGGTGACACTGTCATGGAGCACATCAATGTCCCCAGAACGAGAGAATGGCTGGTGGGCAGTGCTCCTGCTGGCAGTGATGCCACCCAGCTCCCCCCCCACAGGGGCTGAGCACCAGGTGTGCATGCAGAGTCCTGTCTGCAGGGCTGGAGCCTCATCCTCAGAGCTGGCAACCTCACCCACAGGGCTGTCACACTCATCTGGGGCTGCCACCTGCTTCTCTGGGGCTGCCACCCTCTTTTAGGGCTGCCACCTTCCTCTAGAGCCAGCACCCAGAGGTTTTTGGTTGTGCACATCTGGCAGACATCCCCAAACCGGGGTGCAGAGGTGACTTTTGAGCAGCCAGGCAGGTGTGAGCAGCCACAGGGAGTGCAGGAGCTGTGGGGACAGCGTGAGGGCGGGCAGGGACAGTGGTGAGGAGAGCACTGGGGAGGAACAGGGCAGGGAGCAGGGGAGAGCACTGGGGAGGAAACGCCGAACGAGCGATGAGTGACTGCAGGGGGGGCAGGAAGGGAGGAGCGGGCAGGGAACGGCTTCACAGTTTCAGACTTGTCCCTCTCGGTCCCTGCGGCCTCCGAGCAGCGCGGCCATGGCCGAGGGCCAGAAACGACGGAGCTTCAAGAAATTCAGTAAGTGACCATGGGACAGGGAGGGTGGGAAATGGGGTGCTCACCTGGACATCTCGGTGGGTAGGAGGATGTGTGAGCGTTGGTGTTGAGTGTGTGCTCACATGCTCCCTGGGTCATCCCATCCAGGGATGGAATCATCCCATCCAGGGATGTTTGGAGCTGTGACAGGCACTGCTCTCGTTAGAAAGCTCATTGGGGTGAGGGGCTTTGGAGGTTTCCATCCACAAGGCTGGGTGCTGGCTCAGGTGCTGGGACTGGGACCACTCTGCTGCAGCCCAGTCCTGTGCTGGATGCTGGGATGTGACCAGAGGGATGCACAGCAGGGTTTGGGGGTTTTCACTCCTTAAATCACACCTTTCAGGGTGCATGGCTTGGGTACAAGCTGGTGCTGGGGGCCAGGGGTGGCTGGGACCCTCAGCCCAGGGTGCTCCAGCAGCACAGGGATGGGGGTGACACAGAGGAGCCGGGGAGGGAGCCTGGGAATGGATTCCCACTGGCTCTTCAGGGAGGAAGTGCTCGATACCCACCGGGAGCGAGCTCTGCACTTTCTCACAGACCTCAGCTTCCCCCAGCGCCCCGGGGGGAGCTGCAGTGGCCTTCACCCCATTCCCAGCACTGCCTGTGCTCTCTTGCATTCCTGCCTGGGGCTGGCGCCAGAGGGGGCCAGTCCCTCCCCTCCCCCGGGACCCCTGCACTGGCCAAACACAATCCCCATCCCAGCTGGGATTTTCCTTTGTGCTGGGGAAAATCCCCAGCGCTGCCTTTCCCACCTTGCAGCAGCCCCAGGAGCAGCAGGTAGCAGAAGATGCTTGGACTCCAAGGGGATGCTTAGCACTAAGTAGTTTTGCCTCTAACTGCACTCAGGCCATGAGGTTTGTGCCTCACAGAGGAGCTTTGGGGATGCAGCCCCTCCAGCTGCAGGGATGCCCTGCAGAGCCCATGGGTGGCAAGTGGGGGTGGGAATCCAAGGGCTGAGCAGCCTGGGACACCCCAGTCCTTGCTCAGCACCTCTGCAATGTGGGAATCCAAGGGCTGAGCAGCCTGGGACACCCCAGTCCTTGCTCAGCACCTCTGCAATGTGGGAATCCAAGGGCTGAGCAGCCTGGGACACCCCAGTCCTTGCTCAGCACCTCTGCAATGTGGGAATCCAAGGGCTGAGCAGCCAGAGACACCCCAGTCCTTGCTCAGCACCTCTGCAATGTAGGAATCCAAGGGCTGAGCAGCCTGGGACACCCCAGTCCTTGCTCAGCACCTCTGCAATGTAGGATACAAGAGCTGAGCAGCCTGGGACACCCCGGCCCTTGCTCAGCACCTCTGCAATGTGTCGCTTCCTGCCCCGGCAAATCCGCCGTGCTTCGCAGAGCCCCAGGGCAACACCAGCATTGCAAAACCCCTGGAGGCACCCAGGGAAGCGCTGCTCAGCAACACTGCAGCCACAGGCTGGCTCACCCCGAGCGCTGACTTCGGCACCATCCAGGGACGCTCAGGGCTGAGCCGGGGCTGAGGTGTGAAATGCAAAGCCGCCCTCCGGAGTTATAAATACTTCTCTGGCGAACATATTCGTGCTCAGCACTTGCAGGTGGCAGCTGGAGCAGGCGAGGGGCTGGGTGAGGAAGTGGGGAGGTTATCTCCTGCCTGCAGCAGCACCGGTGGCTGGTTCCTGCTCACCGTGCTGGCGAGACACGCACATGGGGGCAGGTCAGGGCATGCAGGACCCCCATTCCCTGGGGAGATGCCGGGTGTCCCGTTCTTGCACCCTGCAGGGCTGCCCTCAGGCTGTGGGGATGAGCACAGCCCTGCCCAGAGTCCCCCGGAGGAAGTAGGCAGGCAGAAATCATTTATAGAGTTGCCCGCTCACGGGGTTGGGTGTTTCCTCAGCTGTGGTGGGGAGATGCAGCTGCAAGATTTGCCAAGCACAGGAGACTTCTGCTCCCCAAGGGGCCAGGGCAGAGTTCTCAGGTACCCAATAGATGCCTCAAGCAGCATCATATACACCTCAGAGCAGAGGGATGCCATGCCAAGCTGAGCCAGCAGATGAGGGTGTAACACAAGGCTGCAAAGAGCCCCATGCCCACCCCAACCCAGGACCAGGGGCTCTGGGATCCCCCATCATCACTGCAGTAACACCACATTCATCATTCCTTTCTCCTTGCCAGAGTTTTTCAAGTTCAAAGGCTTTGGGAGCCTGAGCAGCATCCCCCGCTCCTTCACCCTCCGGCGCACCTCTGTGGACCCTGAGAGTCTCAGATCACATCTCCCACCTTCCCATGGCTTCCTGGGAGAGCCCTTTGACAGCACCCAGGATGATCTCAACACCGTGCCCAAGAGCCCTGGCTCCTATGCCCAGTCATCCAACATGTACTCCCACATGGGCACCATGCCCAGGGTCAACCTGGGCAAGGCAGGGAAGAGCCTGGGCAAAGACAAGAGCAGCCAGAACTGCTGGGACAAAGGGACTCCCAACAACAAAACCCCTCAGACAGCCCCGGTCCCCTCAAGCCTCAAGTGCCCTGACGTGTCCAGCAGCCCTGACCCTGGCACAGACTCACCCTCAGCTGCTGGAGAAGCAGAGCAGGAGGAGGAAAAAGCTGAACCTGGGGAGGCAGCAATGGCCAGGACAGACCAGGAGCCTGTGGGAAATGTCTCCTGCCCTGGGACAGAGGCACCGAGCTCCAGCCTGGCTCCAAACCCCAGCCAAACCACAAGCCCTGACACAGCAGCTGGAGCAGACACCACTGATGGGGATCTGCTGGAAAAGGGACAAGAGCATCCTGACAAGATCTCCCCAGACAGGTATAGCCCTTGGGGTTTGCTCTGCCTTCTGCTCGGACCCCCCTTTAGCCTCTCCAGGGCAAGAGGAGGGGTCTGGAACAAACCAGGGTCACTGCCATGTCCCCCCGTGCCCGCAGTGCCAGCGGGATGCACCTGGCCGGTGGGACAGCACAGCTGGAGCGTGCTCAGATCAGCGGCTCCATGGGAACGAGGTTTCCTGTGGGATTTCTGCTCCCTCCTGTTTCCGGACGGGCTGGAAACATCTCGCAGCCCCGCTCTGCCCCGGCATCTCTTTGTCCTGCGGCGGCCGCGTTCCAGCACCGGTATGTGCTGCTGCTGCGGAGAGCTCACACCAGCACTGTTACAGCCTCCTCCTCCTCTCACCCTCCTCTTTTCCACCACCTCTGTCCTCTCCTCCTCTGCCGAGCAGCGCTGCCTCTCCCAAGGCACAGGGGCAAATCCTGAAACCGGACACTCCGTCCCCATTTCATCAGTAAACCCCCACTCTGGGCACAAATCCCCTACTCTGGGCACAAATCCTCCGCTCTGGGCACAAATCCTCCGCTCTGGGCACAAACCCCCCTCTCCAGGCACAGTCTCCCCCTCCGGGGGAATTTGGAGGTTCAGCCCTCTGAGATGACGGACGGATGGATTTTTTGGAGGGTTTTGACCGCAGAATCAGCCAGAGGGATTTTTATCCCAGCCCCACGGCATCTCTGGGTGTAAGGGGCCAAACGCGACCTCAGCCCAGCAGAGTGTGCGGGACTGGGGGGACACAGGCAAAGGCGACTCCAAATTGCTCCCGAAAACATTTCTCCCGCTTTCCCTGGCCTGTCTCTCCTCTGTGCACTCCTCTGGCCCCTGATGTCCCTGTTTCCCCTGCACCGCCCCGGGGCCGGGGGCTCCTTTTCCGGGCACTGAGCGTTCCGGAGCTCCGGGTGGTCCCGGCAGCGGGGCGAGGAGGAGAAATCCGGCGCTGGGAGCGGAGCACACATTGCTGTTGGCCCGAAGGGTGGGCCGGAGGAGGGCCGGCACGGGAAGGAGGAGGGTCCGCCACCGCCTTGCGCGCCCCGAAGTCGCGGCGCTCAGTGCGAGGCGGGAGAGCGCGGGAGAGCCGCTCCCATCCCCGGGCACGGCGCTCGCTGCATCCCCCGGGCCCATGACAGCGCTGGGCAGGAGGTTTCCCACCCTGGGACAGGGCAGGTAAGGGGTCCTGGCCGCCCGGCCGCCCCGAGCACCCCGGCACAGCGGTGGGGATGGGGAGGGAGAGGTTGCGAAGGGGCTTTGCTTGGGGCGGGCACAAACTTGAAGGCAGATGCCTGAGCTGAGCCCTGCTCGGTGCCGAGGCCCCCGGCCCGGGGTGGTGTTTTCCTCAGGGAAAGAGCTGCTGGAACCGCACCAAGGGCTGCGACCGGGGATTTGGGGGACTGCTGGCGCTGCCGCATCCTTTGGTGAGCACAGAGTGGCACAGAGTCCCCAAGGAGGGTGCAGAGGGCTCACCCAGCCCCTGTGGCTCCCAGAAATTCCTTGGATCCCAAGCCAGTGTGGCTGGGAGCCAAGCAGCAGTGGGACATGGGTGGGTCACGTGGGTGTTTTGAATCTGGATAATGGGTTCCCAAAAATTGGGGGCCAAATGCATTTTTGCATCCTGTGGGGTTTCCCCGATGATGGATGTAGCCTTGCTGCTTGCCAGGGAAACTGAGGCACGAGGGTGACCAGAGCAGGTCGTGGCATCAGGGTTATGTCTGCTGCTCCACACTCTAACCCAGAGCCCCTGCCACAGCCCCTGGCTCGGGGAGCTGCCCTGTGCCCGAGCCATCCCAAGGACAGGCCCTGCTGCGGGGCGGGCGGGAGGAAGTGGGACCGGGATAAAGCTGCGCCCCAGCCCTTCCTCCTGTGCAGGCACATCCCTGGGCTTGGGGACAGCCTGTTCCTGCCAGGCCATGCCAGCAGCATTTTCTCTGGGGTAGGGAAACAAATCTGGCCCTGGGGCACATTTCCACCTGGAATATTTCTGGTGAGGACAGTCCCCAGGAGAGGGTAGGTGAGGGTGCTCCCGTGCAGGAGGGCTTTCCCAGAATCAGGCCAGTGAGGGGAAAACTGTGCTGTGTGGGACAGGGAGTGGCAGGCAGCCTGTGGAGCTGCTCAGGGCGAGGCGGTGGCCGTGGCTCCGGCAGGGACACGCTGACTAACGGGAGGTGGCCGCTGGCAGCTCCCAGGGCGGACGTGACTCGGTTTCCCCGTGCATGGCCGTGCGCAGGGCAGGGGAAACGCCGCTTCCCGCAGGCACTGCCTGACACTCCCTGCACTGCCAGCCAAAACCTCCCTGGAGGCAGCTCCACAGACGGGGAAACTGAGGCACGGTGCCCACATTTGACTCGCCTGGGGTACAGCCTGCACCAGCGTCCCAAGGAAAGCAGAGCCTCGGCTACAAACCAGGGCTGGACTCACAGGATCCCCCTGGCCTGTTCCCAGCAGCCAGCCCGGAGCTTGGCACATCTGTGAGTGGTGGTGATGCCTTCCCCAGCCCACCCCACCGAGCCCCCAGTCCCCAATTCCATCGCTGCAGCTCTGGGTCTCAGCAGCTCAGCCACGGCCGCACTCCAAAGGCAGCCCTGGAATTTCTCCCAGGCTCTCGTCTGCCCCCAAAAATGCCGTTTCCTCCAGGAATGTGCAGAACCAGGGGGGCTGCGGTCCCAGCTGCTGCCCTTCCCCGGCACAGGGGCCTCTCCTGCCCGGGCTCTCCAGCGTCTCCCAGCTGCTCCCATGCTCCCGACTTCCTGCCCAGAGGCCCCCCGTCCTCCTGCGGGTTTTTCTCACGGCTCTCGCAGCACCAGGCGGCTCTGCAGCGTGTGAAGGGCAAACAGGCTGGAGAGGCAGCCCGCAGCTGCCCGGCGGAGTCTGCATCCATCCTGCTCTCACATACTCTGCTGTTTTCTTCACCTCCAAAAAAGTATGGGCCTAATTTCCAGCCCCTTTTTCCCCCCTCCCAAGCTGGACACCAGGGGATGTGGCCTGCAGTGTGGGCTTGGGGAATCACAGAATTGCTAAGGTTGGAAAATAGCACTGAGATTGAGGCCAAAAGTCAACCCGGCCCTGCTGTGTTCACCATTAAACCGTGTCCTTAAATGCCGTGCGTGAGGCACTGGAAATGCAGCTCCCACAGGCACTGCCTGACACTCCCTGCAGACCCCTGTGGCAGGCAAAACTTCCCTGGAGGCAGCTCTACAGAAGGGGAAACTGAGGCACGAGGTGCCCATCCACACATTTTTTAAAAACTTCCAAGGGTTCCAGAAGAGGGAATTGTCTTCTGAATGGTTGGACACTACGAGGGGCTGATGCAGACTCTGTCACAGCCCACTGTAATGCCGTGGGCAATGTCCAGTGGAAAATGCCTGGCAGTGGTTGCCTCTGCTGTCCCTGTTTCCCTTTGGGGAGGCCACCAGGCACCAGCTTCTACCTGGAGAGAGCCCATAGAGGAGGAATTTGGCTCCCCAGAGTTGCTCCCAGTGTGGGTGTCAGGGAGAAGTTGTGTGCAGGACCCTCAGCAATTTCCCGTATGTGTCTGACGTATGTGTCCCTTCCTGGCAGGGAAGGGACATCCCAGGTCTATGGTGACCTTGGGTTTGGTTATTCCTTAGTTGCAGCTGCCTGTCCTGGTGTGGCAGCCTGCCATCCCCAGGCCCCTGCTGCTGCCTTGTGCCCAGGCAAGCAACCTTGGCAAACAGCAGGATGTCCATACTGAAGCTTGGCACTGAGGAGGCAACAGGTTCTGGTTAACAGCATTTGGATTTTTGTATTTTATTCTGAAAGGTGAGACCTCAAGGTAGCACATCCCTTGATGTGCTCCCTAGAACCTCTCTCCTTTTGAACTCTCTGTTGTTCCCCTGGGACTCCTCTATATGGACACTTATCTGGACGTATAAGAGCGTGAAAAGCAGTCCCAGTCAGGACATCACAGTTCAGACCTAGCTTTGGTGGGAGTTTGAATTCTGTACAAAGCCATAAATTCCAAAATGCTTGTCTGGGTGGTGTGTCCCAACATCTGCCTACTGGGAATGCAGCTCTGCCAGGGAACAGGACACAGGGCCCCCACCTGGCCATGGATCCCCCAGCACTGTGACCTGCAGGGACCCCAGCCTGGCTGCTGGGTCTCCCTGGTTCAGCTCACACAGTCCCAAGCCGATTTGGGGAGAGATCCTCTAAAAAGGCTTCTTTCTGCCCTGATCGCATTAGGGAGGATAAGCCCTGTGCTGAGAGTGGGCACAGAGCAGGCAGGAAAGTGCCGGGGCCCTGGGAACCTCTCCCAAAGCCATGGCCATGCTCTTGGCACCGTGGCAGGACAAGGGGCACACACCCCACTCCCCCAGCTGTGCCACCACTGCCTTTGACCTGCATGTCACAACTTACTGCCCTTTACTAATGTATTTTTATTGTTCCTCTTCCTTTTAGCCACCACGATGGCCTGGAGTCTGGCAGTGAATACGTGAAGGTAAGACACAAAGTGTGATCACATCCTGTCCCAGCTGGGTGCCAGGGGTGGAGAGGGGATGGTGGCCCTGGAGCTGCTCAGGCCTTACCCCAGCAAGCTGCTCAGTTCTGCATCCCTCTTCCCATCTGGGCTCTCTCTTTGCCCCTGGAAGATATTTCTGGCAAGGCCAGGGAAGACAGAGGAGACACAAACCCTACGTGGTCGCCCCAGTGCTGTTCCCACAGGAGCTGCTTGCGTTTCATGTTCCCAGATCCTTGTGAACGCCCACAGATGCAGCCTTCTCCCTCCGCCCCCACGTAAAGAAACGGAAGGGTTTGAGCCACTTTCGTGGCTGTCACATGAAAGTTGGTGTAAATCTCTCCAAATCTTTTGCTTATCCTCCAGCAAACTATTAACATTCCTGAGGACTCTTCATGTCTGGCCAGAAATTCATTAGTGAGGCGCCTGGCTCTGGAGGAGAGCGGCCCTTTTGCAGGAGGCTGCTGGCACTGGGCAGGCACAGAGCAGCGGTGGCAGGGGTGCTGTGAAGTTTGGGCACAAAGCAGTGAAACCCACTGAAGTGGTCACTGCCATGGCATGGCCTTTGGGGTGTTTGTTTAAGGAGAGTTGGAGCTTCCTGAGTCCAGTTGCCCAGTGGGGATCTAATCCAGTCTGCCACTGGGCACATGGGGTTCTTGAGAAGTGACTTGAGGTGCCCAGCTTGGGTGGCCTAATTAGCACAGAGCCCTCCACCTTCATCTTTTGGACTTGGGGCTCCTGGTGGTGGCTGTAGCCAGACATGGAAAATGTGGGAAGCCCCTGTGGCAGCACCAACTGGCAGGCTTGGGAGAGAGCTGGCTGGACCCTGAGCTCATCTGCTGCTTCCAACAGGGGTCATGTCCATCCCTGGGGCTAATGAGGACCCCACATGTCGAGTCTGGCACTGGCAGCCTGTGGGCAGTGGGGTCAGATGAGGTTTTTGTTGTGCAGCAGAGTGACCCTGCGGGTGGGATGCTCTCCTCTCTGTGCCCTAAAGCCATGTGGGACTGGCAGAATGGGAGCTCAGGGCTGGAATGGGACCTGTGCCAGGACAACAAAGCTCTGACTGGGCGCATTGGGTCTGGCTGTGATGTAGTTCATTTAGTTCATTTTTCCCTGCAAAGCCAATACACTGGCCTCAGCAGGGCAGGGCCCTGGTGTGGGGACCTCAGGATATGCAGAGAAACTCCTGCTCACACAGGCAAGTCCTGTGAGGGCAAGGAGGGGGTGAGGGGAGGAACAGAATAATTGGGGGTGTTTTCCCTGGCATTGTCAGTGTGTGCACCCAGAGATGGACACATTTTATGGCTCATGATTTAATAGACTGAAGCAATACAGGTGGGGAGCAATGGATGTGGCTCTGCCTTTGGGATCAAATACGTTTTGGTGAGCCAGGAGAATTGCCTACCATCCAGCCAGATCCCAGACCTGATCTACCTGGCCTTTATTTCTCATCCATCCCTGTGGTGTCCAGAAACAGCCCAGGGGCTGTGATTTATACACCACTTCCCTTTGGTCAGAGAAGCAACTGATGGCAGCAGTGACAGCAGCTATTTTAGTCAGATCAGTAATTATCCAGAGTGTGAGTGACCGGGATGACAGGGACACTCCAGCTGATTGCAGCGCTGTGCCTGGCTGGCAGCCCGTGCAGCTGCAGGGTGCTCAGCACCCAGCAGTGTCCAGCCCCAGATCCTGCAGGATTTGGGGTGGGAAGGAGGCTGCTGTGCCTGCCTTTGGAGCAAGGGAAGATGGGGCTGGGATCTGCCACTGGGCAGTGTAGCTGGGAGGGAAACAAGCAGAGGGAAACACTGGTGAGGGGTGAGCAAAGGAATGACAGAAGGAAAAGAGCTGGTGAAGGAGAGGGTCAGGAAGAGGGAGAGGATGTGTTGCAAAGCCCTCATGAGCAAAGGCTGACAGGCAGGTCTGTGTCCAGGTGTGCACCAAGGATCTGCCAAACATCAACCCTTGAGCTTCAGCTGCAAAATGGCCAGGGCTGGTGCTCCCATCACCGAGCCTGGCCTCATTGGATGTGCAACCGGGAGCTAGAGAGGGTTGGAAAGCCAGGATCAATAAGCACTTGGTAATTAATGTGCTTTAATAATAGCCTAAGGGCTGTTATTTCCAAGCTGCCTGGGGATCTGCACACCCAGCTCTCCATTTCAACATCCCAGCCACCCCAGCTTTGCCCTTTGTGCAGGTGAAGGAGCTGCAGAAAGATGTTACCCTTCAGGAGAGCAGCGAGCAGTAAAGCTGTCACACGTCCTGTGAGAGCTCAGTCAGGGATTTTCAGCTTCCCTGTGAGGAGGGGCAGCACAGTCACAGCTGGAGGACTTCACCCTGCAGCACCCCGTGAGGCTCCTGCTCACTAGTTGGTGAAGGGCTCGGTAGGAAACCATGGGGAGAAGCTCCATCACAGGGGAGAAGCCCAGGCAGGAGGATGATTCACCACTGCATCTTTTTGGAGCAGCATGTCCCTGCACAGTGCCATCTGCTCTGTCCCCAGGCAGGAGGAGAGGAGGAGAGTCCCTGCCCATGCTGGTGGGGCTGCAGGCACCCGTGGGACCCGTGGGACCTGCTGCCCCATGTTCCCTGCCCCCAGGCTGTGTGCTGCCACCAGTCCTCCCATGCCTCAGCCCTGTCCTGCTGTTCAGCCGAGCTGCTCTCCTGCCTGCTCTCTCCCCTGCAAATCCAGGGGCAGAGTGAGAGCCCGGCCAGCGCCTCTGAGCTCTTTGTTCTGCGCAGAAGGGCTGCTTGCTCAAGCAGGGACCTGTGTCTCATCAGCCTCAGATGCTGTCTCCTTGCCTGGTGATGTGAGGGGCTCGTTTGAATTAATTAGCAGGGAGGCTGCAGGGTTCTGTGCTCGGTGGCAGCAGGAATACCTCTCCGAGGTCACAGTGTTGCCTGGGAGGCGTGGGGCTCCTCCTTGGGCCAGGACATGCTTTGCAGATGGGAGGGTGAAGCCCCCAGTCACTGAAGCACAGCCAAATCCAGGCCGTGCAGTGCAGGACAGATGTGGAGGAAGAGCAGCAAGGTGTAGGTCCCTGTCACTGCCAGGGCTGAGGGAGCCCCTGCCTGTCTCCAGCACAGCTCCCCGCAGTGGGTTCAGGCAGGGTTTAGGGGATTTATTCAAAAGTCAAGGCTGGAGCAGTGCTTTGAGTCATCAGTGCTGCCTTGCACATCCCATACGTGATACTGTGGCCTTAATTAAACCGAAGCAGAGCCTTAATTAAACACAAGTCAGAGACAGCCTACACAGGAAACAGGCAGCTGGCTCCTCGCCATGTGAGGTGGGCACTGGTGTATCTCCCAGAAAGGTGTCACCATGTGGGGCTGAAGGAAGACAGGACGGGCAATAGGGGACAAGGCTGCCCCTGACCCACAGGCATCACTGGGGAGAGCAGGCAGGTTTGGGATGGGGAGAAAAGGGGTGCTGTGTCCCCTTAGAGTGTCTGATCCCCTCAGAGGAGCAAATTTCTCTCAGAGCACCAGCAGCCAGAGATGCTGGTTCCCCTCAGGGGTGTCTGTTCCCCTCTGAGGAGCTGAGTCACCTCGGAGGAACCAGCCCCAGTCAGGACACGATAACCGGGGTGCCGCTTCCCTTCGGGCACCTACCCTCAGAGGTGCCGGTTCCCTTCAAGGCACAGGCAGCCGGGGTGCCTGATGCCCTGAGCGATGCTGCTTCCCTTTGCAACACAGGATTGCCGCTTCCCTTCGGGGGTGCCTGATCCCCTCAGGGATGCCTGTTCCTTTGCGACATGGGAGTGCCGGTTCCCCTCGGAGGAGCCGGTTCCCGTTCCCCTCACAGCACAGGCAGCGGGGGCGCCCGATCCCCTCAGGGATGGCGG